AACTCATCATCGATCGAGAAGCACTCGGTGAAATGAATGAGAATGGAGAACTGTTTGCAGATTTCCACGCATTCAACGATTTGGTGATTGGAGACAGTGTGTACAAACATAAGAATATTCACAAAGTGACATGGATTTCACCAGGCACCGGACACACTGAAAATCAGATAGACTTCATCTCAATGTGTGGAAAGTGGAGACGTAGCCAGCCTACTTGACACAAGGTCAAGAAGAGGAGCAGATGTAGGCTCAGGACATTATCTAGTGCAAGGAACCTGCTTTCAAAATTAAGTTGAAAGCCTTCAAGGAAGTTGGTGATAGACAACAGTTCAAGTTGAACACCAAGAACAGAATCTGAAGGACGAAACTACAAACAACATCTTCACGTCAGCCATCAAAACAAAATGGGGAATATCGGGCAACATCCCTGAAGAAACCTGTGTGGAAAAACACTGGAAGTCTTTGAAAGAGATGTGGAAAGAAATTTGTACAGCCGCATAAGGAAGGAAGAAGAAAGAAGATAAGGAATGGATCTCAATTGACACAGGGAAGCTGCTAGATGAGAGGAGTATGGTGAAGCAGAAGATAAACCAGTGTAAGGATGCACAACGAAAAGAAGAACTGAGTGCAACGCATAAAACACTGGACAAAGAAGTGAAGAAGAGTGCGTGCAAAGACAAAATACACTTCTACGACACATTGGCAAGTAAAGTAGAACAGGCTCCTGGTAGTAGAGACCTGACAACATTACATCAAATAACCAGGTTACTATCTGGGAGGGAAGAGATCAACGCACACGAAACCAATCAAAGTTAGATGAGGAAACCTAGTTACCAAAGAGGATAAACAAAGGAAAACATGGGCTCACCACTTCAAAAAAACTCTTAAATCAACCACTACCTGAAACTCGTTCAGAAATACCGCCAGCACCGTCAGAACTGCCAGTGAACACAGGCCGTTCAACGACAGCAGAAGTCCTGAATGCCATGAAACTGCTTACATAATGAAAACCAGCAGGACCAGACTGAAAATAAACGCAAAGACAACAGCGGACATGCTCACACCTCTATTAGAGAAGGTTTGGAAGGAAAGGTAAATGCAGGTTGATTGGAAGAAGGCCTAACTTGTCAGACTCTCCAAGAAGAGAGAACTAGGTCTTCGCAAGAACTGCAAAAGAATCATGATGATATCCACCCCGAGCCCAACATTTTGCCGCAACATCCTAAAGAGAGTAAGGTATGCGCTGGATTCCAAATTATGACTGGAACAGGCGGACTGGCTCCATCCCCGAAGAACAAATCATGTGCGGATCAAATTGCAACCGTACACTACGCATCATCACCGAACAGAGTTTAGAATGGCAGTCAACTCTCTACCTCAACTTTGTCGACTTTGAGAAAGCCTTTGACAGAGTCGACGGAGAAGTAATTTGGCAGCTGCTGCTTCAACACTACGGAGTGCGACAAATCTTTATCAACCTCATTCAATAGCTATATGAAAACGCCACATGCCAAGTGATCCCCAATGGAAAGCAGCTCATTGACGCCTTTGAAGTGAAGACAGGAGTAAGACAAGGCTTCCGCCTACTATCACCCATGATCTTACAGGTTGTGGTCGACTGGATCACGCAGCAAACAGTGAGGAGCGAGAAGATGGGCATACGTTGGATGAACCGATGAAAACACCCCAGAAGATTTGGATGTCTCCGATGATGACTTATGTCCAATGTCTCGTCGCACAAACTCAAAGATCTACAGACGAAAACCAACAAGTTGACAGAAGAGACGAGGTAGCAAAGACGGGACTTCAGGTGAACGTAGAGAAGACAGAGGTGATGAAGATACCCAACCAACAACAGCATCAACAACAAGCACCAATCACCACTAAGAGGAGAAACCTAAAGGAAGTAGTCTCTTTCACCTACCTAGGCAAGGCAGCATCGTTTCAACTAGAGGTGGCGGCACAGACAAGGATGTCGAAACCAGGATGGCAAAGGATCAGCAAGACAGGCTTTCGCTAATATGAAATCAGTGTGGAGATCTGCTGCACTCAGCATGTGGAACAAGATCCGAATTTTCAACACCAATGTCAAGTCAGTGCTGCTATATGATTCAGAAATTTGGCGCGTCACGAAAAGCATTTCCAGCAAACTACAGACATTCATCAACAGCTGCCACCTACACTGGCTCGATACTGAAGATCAGATGGGCAGAATAATAAGAATAAACAACAAAGAACTCTGGCTGGCAACGAACCAAACAAGAACCTATCACCCAACAAACATGCAGAAGAAAGTGGAGATAAATTGGATTGGGCATACACTGAGAAGGACGATTGGGGACATTATGGACCAGGACCTCGGGTGGAACCCGCATGAGAAACGACGAGTTGGGCGTCCCAGCTGAGGGTGACATGGAGGAGATCGTGTGAGGAAGAAATGAAAGCTTGTGGGCAGTCATGGAGCCAGGTTCAAAAGACTTCAGAGAAGAGAGTGCAATGGAGACGTGCTACTGAAGCTCTATGTTCCACTAGGAACCCAAGGGAAAAATAATGATGTTGGCGACAAAGTTTAACAGAGACGACTTGTCTGATCGCGCTAGTGCTTTGTGAAGCGCCTTAAAGGATAACTGTAATGATCTTCGAAAACCACATTGCTGGGTAAAATCATCAGTACATTCGAAAAGCGCTGATATTCATATACTTGTCATGTAGACCTTGACCATGCGCCTTTCGTAAGGAATTGTAACCTAATTGTGATTTAACATTTCATTTCTTGCTGCAGTGTAACATCTCAAAAGCTCTACTTTTCAATAACAGTATTCTTTTGAGCTTTAATTTTCATAACTCTGCCCTAGTTTTGAGTGCATTCCTACTTTTTATTGGGGTACTGAGGCCTCACCACAGTCTTTGTTGTGATTTATTCAAGCAAGGGCTAAAAATCCTTCTCCCTTTTCCCACTATGCTTTCTCATGACGACGGTTGCTAAACAGTAGACACGTTAGAGACAGGAATGTCTCCAAGCTGTTCAGGTTGATATGCAATAGGGCAACCACAATAGGTGGTTTCATGACGCTTGCATAAACTTGATGCAAGCTGAATTAACTAAACTCAGAAAGCCTGGTCGCAAGTAGCAATGTCATTCGTGCAGATCTGAACTGGAAGATAATCTTAAGGACATCATTACAACGTCAACGGGTACCAAAAGAAAGCTACCAACAAACCGCATGAAACGAAAAACCTAGAAACTCGAAAGCAGGCCCTAGTAACAAGGAATCTGGAGCTCGGAAATCATCGATTAGAAAGGTTCAAGTTAGCCAACAGCAGAAAAGAAGTAGTTAAACAGAAGATGTGCTGCTCCTTACCAGTGCGTTAGCGCCAACAGTCCAATAGTAAGATCTTAGTGTTGACCAATGAGACAGGAAATGCAGCAGTCATACCGAGTGAGGATGTCAGAAATGCAGTATGGATATCCGTTGTTTATGGTAAAAATGGTAGGTTTTCAACTCCGGTGAACCTGAGTCAGCGAGAGGCATCGTGAAGAAGCCCAAATACGGTAAAATGGGAACAATGGAAACTAAGACTAAGACTGAAGTTTACCTCATCTACAGGTCGTTGAGCGACTCACATACTTCTCGAACAAAGAAATGATTTGCCTGCATCTCAGGCTGAAGCGGATGAAAAACCAAGGACCAAAAACATAACTAAGCGCCACCAGTTGGGGAGATTATCACAACCCGAGATGATTTTGTAATCAATATGAACTTGATGGATAGTTCAAATCTCATACAGGTTTCAGGATAAGAATGACAGAATTATATGGGAAAATGTATGAAGTGTAAACTGAATCATAGTAGTCAATGGCTGCAACTAAGCTTTAATGCGATCCTGATTCCATAAACAAGAAAATTCCCTACTTCCTAGGTTGACATCCTCCAACTCTGATGATGTTGAGGATGTGCTGTATCCGACGTGCTGAAGACGCAAGAATAAGACCAGATATCTCACACTCCATGAGAATGACCTTAAAGGAACTCTCACGTGACCGTCAAGAGGCCTACTTTAGGGGGGAGGGGATGGTTATACAAGGAATTCTGGGAAACCCAGATACCGAGGTTATCATCCAATACAATTGCTCTAAGTTGGAATTCATTAATAAGACCATGAACCTTTCTCAAATGATAACACAAAAGGTCTTATGGATACCCAAAAAGGATGAAGACCCTAGGTCACAAAGGAAGGACAAAGGGAGATTGTTATACCTTCGGCGGACTGCACGAACGCGAAAACAGGGAATGACTGTGGAACAATTCACCGGTATTCAACACTGAGGCATCGACTAATCTGAAGCGCACTAGTCTCTTCAGGCGATTGACGGTCATTTGAACTGGTAAAATGGATCTAATCCGGATATCTTAACTCAGTTGCGAAGATTTCACCTCAAGATGAGCTGAGTGTGAAAATGAGTGGTGTCATTCCCATCTAGGATAGGTAGACAACAATATACAGGAATGTCTTCCGCCGAATGTACTATATACTTTTTTTGCTATTCACAACTGCCTCGACGAAACACGTTTATTATTATTTGTCAACTTACTGTTAGACGACTACTCTACAAACACAGCTGAATTAGCACTAATGTCACCTTACCTTCAAACTAAAACTTAATAGTTGGATTAATTGCGTCAATAAAAAACTTAGACTATCCAACTCCAAAAAAAACTGCATAAATAAACTACATTCTTCATAAACGATTACAAATCGCTGAGATAGACAACTACCTATTGCACACTTAAACAGTGTAGTAGTGTTCAGAAATATTTCAATAGCTATTAGAAGTGGCATAACACTTAGTTACGGCATGTTAGTTCATAGAAATCCAGTTAACAGCAACTTAATAGCTTGTTATACCGCTTAACCTTAAAGGGTCGGAAAAATTTCTTTAAAATATTAGTGATTCACGTGCAAAACACTCCAATGATCTATACGTATGTAAAACATCATCAATTTCTGGAATAGTTTATTAAAAAAGAATTTCTTAAGCATCAAATACAATACAAAAAGACTGCAATGTTACATACAAAGTAAAATGAAGACTAAAAGTAAAAATCATTAAAGATCACGATCAATTGACTCAACAAAGGACGACACATGTTTCGTTTCAATGTTTTTTTCAGTTGTGCTAAAATAGAAAATTTGAGAAGAATGTGTCACATTAGGCATTTTATTATTATTTGAAAGCATTAATTGGGCATACACTGAGAAGGCCGATTGGGGACATCACGCGTCAGGCCCTCGAGTGCAAGCCCGATGGGAAGCGATGAGTTTAGCGTCCCAGCTGAGGGTGACATGGAGGAGATCGTGCGAGGAAGAAATGAAAGCTTGTGGGCAGTCATGGAGCCAGGTTCAAAAGATTTCAGAGAAGAGAGTGCATTGGCGACGTGCTACTGAAGCCCTATGTTCCATTAGGAACCCAAGGGATAAATAGTAATATACTAACAATTGTTTCACACAAATAATGTGCACGGAAGACCTGGAAGACTCATGATTAAAAAAGTTAGTATAGAAACGCTGTTTACAAAAAAAAATCTTGAGGCAAAAATAAAGAGGAATTATTATTTACTAAGTTATCATTTGTTCCTTGGGCTCCTAGTGGAACATAGAGCTTCAGTAGCATGTCTCCATTGCACTCTCTTCTCTGAAGTCTTTTGAACCTGGCTCCATGACTGCCCACAAGCTTTCATTTCTTCCTCACACGATCTCCTCCATGTCACCCTCAGCTGGGACGCCCAACTCGTCGTTTCTCATGCGGGTTCCACCCGAGGTCCTGGTCCATAATGTCCCCAATCGTCCTTCTCAGTGTATGCCCAATCCAATTTATCTCCACTTTCTTCTGCATGTTTGTTGGGTGATAGGTTCTTGTTTGGTTCGTTGCCAGCCAGAGTTCTTTGTTGTTTATTCTTATTATTCTGCCCATCTGATCTTCAGTATCGAGCCAGTGTAGGTGGCAGCTGTTGATGAATGTCTGTAGTTTGCTGGAAATGCTTTTCGTGACGCGCCAAATTTCTGAATCATATAGCAGCACTGACTTGACATTGGTGTTGAAAATTCGGATCTTGTTCCACATGCTGAGTGCAGCAGATCTCCACACTGATTTCATATTAGCGAAAGCCTGTCTTGCTGATCCTTTGCCATCCTGGTTTCGACATCCTTGTCTGTGCCGCCACCTCTAGTTGAAACGATGCTGCCTTGCCTAGGTAGGTGAAAGAGACTACTTCCTTTAGGTTTCTCCTCTTAGTGGTGATTGGTGCTTGTTGTTGATGCTGTTGTTGGTTGGGTATCTTCATCACCTCTGTCTTCTCTACGTTCACCTGAAGTCCCGTCTTTGCTACCTCGTCTCTTCTGTCAACTTGTTGGTTTTCGTCTGTAGATCTTTGAGTTTGTGCGACGAGACATTGGACATAAGTCATCATCGGAGACATCCAAATCTTCTGGGGTGTTTTCATCGGTTCATCCAACGTATGCCCATCTTCTCGCTCCTCACTGTTTGCTGCGTGATCCAGTCGACCACAACCTGTAAGATCATGGGTGATAGTAGGCGGAAGCCTTGTCTTACTCCTGTCTTCACTTCAAAGGCGTCAATGAGCTGCTTTCCATTGGGGATCACTTGGCATGTGGCGTTTTCATATAGCTATTGAATGAGGTTGATAAAGATTTGTCGCACTCCGTAGTGTTGAAGCAGCAGCTGCCAAATTACTTCTCCGTCGACTCTGTCAAAGGCTTTCTCAAAGTCGACAAAGTTGAGGTAGAGAGTTGACTGCCATTCTAAACTCTGTTCGGTGATGATGCGTAGTGTACGGTTGCAATTTGATCCGCACATGATTTGTTCTTCGGGGATCGAACCAGGCGGCCTGCTCCGGTCGTCACTAAATTTTTTGTGATATAGCTCTACTCAACGTGACATTGAGCATCAAGGAAGACAGTGGGTGGGTGTGGGCAACACAACTCGACCATTTTAGACAATGAAGGTTCGCTATCTAGCCGATCAACTGATTTACCTTCCTTCCCTAACACTTTACACCTCACTTATGAAATGTTCACACCGTGGCTTCATCATATGATAGTAACGCTAGAAAAGTAACAGTGGTCAAATGCCTGAAGCCGTCTGGTAATCCTGATTTTTAATAACTGCACAGTACACTCAACAATAAACAGTCACTGTTTCATATCTTACTAGTGTTACAAATAGTATGGTTTGATGAAAGCTAACATAACTACTTCTATCCTTGCCGCTAATCAGACAGGTTCCATGCAACTTTCTAGGTGGATGAAGTACCCACAGAGTTCAAACAGTTTTCTTCTCTATTACTAGATGGAGCATCCATGCATCAGTGGGGTGATCATTTCAAGCAGTTTCAAAGTATCACTCGATATTTTCATGTCTCCAAATGACAGTTTTGTATCGTTTGTGTTTCGATCATTCCTCTTTTGCTACCAAGCAGTGCTATTCAATGTGACTTGGTTTCAACAACTGGTTTCAGACAATAATATGTATCATGCAGTTTCCTAGTAAAGTTCTAGTCCCCGAAACCACTTTTTTAGATGGATATAACAAAACAGAAATATTTTATAGTAAAAATTAGGGAGTTTGCAGGATGAATAAGTACAATCATTCCCATCTGGTACACTCTGCTCTATTTTCATGCAAACCAGAACCTTAGTAAGTGTGCACAAGTCCTATTAATTAGAATTGTCTTTAAAACTGGATGATGAAGAGAATACGCGAAATTTGTGTTGACAGAAATCTGCCCGGTATTTTGTTCCTCAGTCATCCATTCCTTCTGCTTACAATTTAATACGTTGGGAAAGAAAAAAAATACGTCAACCGCATTCAAACAGTACTGAATTTACTGAGTACAGCAAAGTTTAACAAAGTGAAAATGTTGTATCCGTGGCTAGTAGGAATGAGAGCCACAATTAAACAATTTCGAATGTCTGTGTCTGTCACATTCTTATTTGGTCACCTACACTTTAAGGCCTTGTCCACATCCCATATATTTTACTAAATACAAATAATAGTGTATTGTGTAGCCATTTATATTCCCCTTCTCTCTGAGTTAGTTGGTGTGATGTCAGGGGCTATAGGATCAACTGGTACATACTAACTAGGGCATCTTCTTCATCCTATCCAGTCAAAGATATAACAGGAAACCAGTAGTCACACTGGTGTAATAAAAACATGATACCCAAGCAACTGAACAATTGATTATAAAGTTGCCTGTACACAATGGGCAGTGTGATTTACGCTTGAAAATACCTGTGGTTCAAGTTTATATTATATGAACTGACTAATACGAGACCACATTCAATTTTTAAGCCATCACAACTGAACTATAGAAGCTATTCAACTATTTAAATGCAGAATAACACAAAACTCACGTTTCATTTGTTACTGAATGTGAAGAATTTTCAATTGACGCAGAATTCCTTAACTCTAATACTGGTCCAGGTATTATTTGTCGTACGCTAGCAAAAAAGTCGGTTACAAGTACATGGCGTATATCACGTCCAAATAAATCGGATCGGGTGACTACAGTTGACTGACAGATTGAATATGGGCACACTTTCGACTGGATTGAAAGGGAACAGAAACAGTAAACAAACAATAAAACTTTCAACTTGCAGTTCAAAACGAAATCTTTACGAAAACAAGCAACTTAATCCGGTATAACTATCTATACACCAGGCTATGAGTCGAGCATAATTACTATATCGCGGATTATAAACATTACCCGGTTACCCACGTCAATTCGTTATGTAATGCAACAATACTTTCTGTAGGTGTCATGTGAAAGCTTCCAAAAACCCGAAATCAGCACTATCATCCTGACTACAGATAACCCCTACAGTAAGGCTTCTAGAAGAATGTGGATTTTATTGATTAGTCGGTGGAGAGTAGCTGATTCCACGTCGTTTAGTTTTAAGCGCTGACCAAATTCTATAGACTATTTTACAATGTGGTCAGCAAGCTAGGAAGATGATCAACGCGGTGCACTTTGATGGATGTTAGTTGGTTGAAGGCAATCGGCAGGAAACTCTGAAACAAGGTCTCATGCTCGTTAGCATTTGTCAGCAAGGTATATCTGTGGTCTCAAGAGAACTGCCACCCAATCCCCTATGCAGTTCGGACCCCGCGTTATTCAGTGTTGTAATCAGAGATGTTAATACTGAGCTATTCTGGTCGCAAATGACCTCTTGAAGTTGAAGAGATCACAAGTACACATTTGTAAATTTCACAACTGACCCCGAAGATGTTTGACGAATGTAGAAATAACAACTTGATTCGGTTATACTGAGGGGTGTATGAACAAAAAAATTGTGTAATGATGTTGAGAAAAATGAAATCTACATTGGGATAGTTAATACTATGACCTGTAATGCGACCTAGTAGTCTACGAGCGAAACGAGCCTACAGCGCAAAGGATCTACTCTAATCGCTAATCAGAACGCCACCGACACACGAAGATAAGAAGATTGACCGTTGACAGAGAGCTTTTACTGTCTAGACAACAGTCAAAACAGTTGTTAGCGATGCTGAATATATACGCTGTAAACGACCTTGACAAACACTGAATCCACTGGTAATTTAAAAGAGTTAACAGGGTTTGGCCTTGAGAAGCAGTGGGGAAAAGAAAGCTAACGGTGTCACCAAGAGGATGTGAAGACAGCAATAATAAAGTTATTTTAAGGTTATATGAAAATATCAAGCAGAGGTCAGGTGGAATTCAGGGTACAAGACAGTTAAACTACTTATCCTGCTTATGAACTTGACCATTAATTGATTCAATGTGACCAACTACTGACTAGAAGCCCTAGGTTCCACCAGGAACCCAAAGGATAAATAATAATAATAAAACTACTGACTCATCCTAAAGCTCAAATGAGCATTAAAAGCAAAACTACTGACCTATTGACAGTGTATATGTTATCTATGGTATAATAAACCTACACCTGTAGCCAAAATAAAGTAAATATGACCTACTCATCAGACAGAAAAAGGTTATTTAGGATTACTACGATTAGTAACCAGTCAATGAATTTCTCACTGTTCAGTGTACCTCAGTATTGCCGCCTCCAGAATAGATTCTGTGAGGTAGTATAAATCCAAGAGTTTGTAAAATAAGATGATATAGTGGGAAATCAATTTTGACGATGAACATGTTACTCACTTTCACTTTGCAATCCACTAATGCATACATGACTAATTGATATACCAATATTGTATATAATATCTTGTTTCTAAATGTTGCCCTTTTATTATCCCTTATTACTGTTATTAAAACGATAATGGTTGCGCTTTGAAATGATAGAAAATGTTCATAGCTCAGGATGAGCTATAAAAAAACATAAGTTGGTTATTTATTGATTACTTTTAATTTCACGTTGTTACGGTGGATCGAATCGATCGATCTTATTTGGCATAAGGGTTCTTATGTGGATGCTTCGATATTGCCAAAATATTCATTGTTATAATTCACTTGGTGGAGTTTGAGACGATGGGTACGGCGGCTCAAGCCCTGGTGATAACACCATGAGTCACTGGGATGCGCATACAGAGTCGCAAATAAGACAAAAAAGCGGGTCCTGGATCTCTGTTAGCCACCACCAGGTGAATTAATAAATAGTCATCACTTTCATTAACTTATATAAAAATCAGTCACAATTTGAACTGACATAACATCGGTTTGGAAGTTTGCGGGGATTGGCTTCAAGGTAGTACTCATCATGGACAGACATCGACCGGAGAACCATTGAAAAATTAGGAGCACTGAACAGTTGTTTCGTCCTAGTACGAGACATCTCAGCAGTGTACAAACTACATCATCTAAAGTCCCATGGCTAGGATGGATTAGTCGGCAATATCACTTACGCCAGAGTTGATTGGTTTCTGAAATTCTCAGAACAAAATTAAGCAGACCTCAATTGCTGTACACAATAGTTACAGTCAGATGAATGGCAGTAACCGCTGCCTTATACTTAGCAATTTTATGCCTCAGTGTAATGGTATGAAGCCTGTAAATTTCACACAAACTGAATATACTTGGATAGTAGTTCAACGAACAATTTGCTAACACTACTACTAAGAAGAGATCGAAAACACTTAGGAGGAATAATAGACTATCGTGAACAGTCTGTCACTGGAATTTGTTGATCTGACCGTTATAACCTCAACTGGAACTAAATTTTTCACTTAAACTGAAAAAGTGTAATTATGTGTTTCACAATAGGCTATACTTGATAAAATTATCATCTAAGAAAGCTAGGACAACCTAAAAAAACTAAAATGACTCGAATTGCCATGTTTCTTGACAGTACAAACAGAAAATCAACTCACGGGGAAAACATTTCTATGGGTTAGAAGCCACTTCAACATAAGCATCATTGCGACCGAACTTTGTTCACTCTATTTACGGCTTGAAAACACTGATTTCTAAAGTTTTCAGAATCTCAGTCAAGTAGTATCCATCACTGAGACAAATTCATTGATCCCATTTTGGTCTGTTCATGAAATGTGTCAAAAAGTAGGACAGTATTATTTACTCGATGAAGTTTAGGACACAATTTATCATCTATATCCATATCAGGTGATTATAATTCCACACCAGTTTACTGGTTGGATGTGCCAATCACACAGCTAGGCGTTATCCAGTAAACAGTACTGCTTCCCTGTGCGACACCCTAACAAAAAAACTAAAACGGAATTACAATCTACCACAGTGCCAAAGTTTCACCTCTATACGAGTTTCAGTGACTCTATGAATTAGTGTTATAACTCAGCTTGGCTGTTCTCAACATTATTTCAACTTAATCACATACAAAAGGTATAGCTGATAACATATCACATGAATCTGTTAGTGGCTGCCCAGTTGCATTTTTAAAAATTCCTACTATAGCCAGCATTACATGTCAGCATAAAATAGCATATAGCATAATATAAACCGTAGCCAACTCAGAAGGTGAGAAACCATAATCTCACCAGCTGACTTAGATTCCTCGCCTACCACCCAAATGATGTGCACTGCAGTTCTGCCTCCTACGTTTTGATATCACAAGGTCGTAGAAGGTGTTCCACAAATATAAGATACATAAACAGCAAAATAAATGACATCGGTTGGTACTAGAGAAGTGAGCTCTGTAGAGAATAGATTATGAAAATGACTTGGTTTAGCCACTAGTCGTTATAACACAATAGGATGTATAAACAGGTTGCATAAATAATGCATTTCAACTACTTCAGTTGGCGAAGAGTAAAGAATCAAGAAGTAGAAACAAAGTGGTGATACATCCAGATTGTGAATTCTTCTACCTCTTTGATATAAATAAATAAATTTCGCATCTGACACAGTTACAAATAAGCAGGATGTTGAAAGGTAACATCAGGTAAATATTACATTGTTACATTACATTACGTGGATATACACTGACTGATTGTCCTTTCCACATTCTTCATTATTTTAATTCTTTCTGTATTGAAGCTTACAGAAATGCCAATGCTGAACCTAGTCATCCTACATTAAAGCACTTTACAGGAAGCACATCGCCGAGTAAAGTCCTTAGAACAAGTATTCTCACTTGAAAGTAGATAAATGAATTGAAAAAGTCCTTTCTGCTTTCTTCAGTCCAAGAAAAAAGATAGTAGTATGAAACTTTACACATTCGATGCTGCTCATAGCTTAATAAATAAATCAGTACTTAGTTGCTCACATGTATTAGCATTAGCTATATGTAACCTAGTGTTCCTTTTAATATTTTTGATGCAAACACTTCACTTAGGGAAGATACGAAGTTGGCTGGTTCGAATTCTCACATCGCTATACATTGAGATTAGCCGGTCAAAACAAGCCTAAGTCAGTCTAATCAACATTTGTGGATGGTTGTTTTGTAAACCTATCGAGATAACTTTGATGTATTCATTACTTCATACTCCATGAACGACTTCGGTTTACGTTATCCCTACCTTGAATCGCCAGGGATGTTGTCAGTTTCAGTCGTGACAACGTAAATTCTGAGTAGGCTTACCTCCTCAGAGTAATGGCAATATCATATACCAGCATTTATAAATCTCTTAATTTTGTATTCATATAGATGCTCTTCCGTTACTAGAGAACAATCGTTTAACATATAACTTTAAGATGAAAACAAAAACCATCAAGATTATTGTAAAATGATAGTTAGAGTAAAAATGAAAATAACTACCTAAAACATGGGCTCGCAGTTTTTTCTCTACTTAACTAAAGAGCCTAGTTAGATAATAAATAGATTCATACTTTCCTGCTTCAAATAAAACAGAATATTGGTTAGAAAACAACCTGAAGGGCAACCAAATGGGTGTAGAATGATAAGATCAATGCATGTTTAATCTCAGACTTGAGGTCACAAGATTGAAAGAGTCTATGTTAACCTTTTTCTAGTAAATCTTTGGACCCGCCATACCCAAATTTTCGTCTTGTTTCCTTATATCTTGATATGCTGATTTGAAGTGTGGCAACTTAGACTGTTATGCAGTATTTCCAGGTCCTATATTGATATTGACTTACTGACTGACTAAATACCCTGTTGAGTAAGTGAATCACTAAAAAGGAAGAGTTCCTTCTGAAATAGGTCCCAAGAGTTGACCACTCATCAATGAGAGGCCTAATATTCCTAACCTATGACAGGAACTATTCACCTTAAAGTAAGAATTTTTTTAAACTGCAACTTAATCACTTAGACGTTTAGACTTCAGCAAGTGCGGGACAAATTCGAAAAATGTGCATCACCCACCTAAATGGTTTTGGGCAGTCAAATTAAATAATTGGAGCATAATTTGGGTAAATGCACGAAATTGTTCATACTTCCAAAGCTGTATCACCACTTATTATTATATTCAAATTCATTTACAATGAGGTCATTTTACTTTTTTTAAAAGCAAACACAATTCCTACGTACAACTTACAAAGTCATACAGAGTTTTTTTGCTCTCTGGAGTAATAGATTCCAAAAATTGAAATGCATAGAAAGAATATCGATCAGACACGTATGTTCCAATTTCTCGATCTGAATGGAGCTTTAGAAAGAATTTAAAACGAAAAATACACATGGTTTTTTTAACAATAGAATAACAATTAGATTCCAATACATAGTAATGATGAATAATGGTTACCTGTGGAATCCAGGACGCGCATCTCGTCCTATTCGGGACTCGTCAGCGGGATGTACCTGCCTCCCATTGAGCGATGTTGTTACCACTGGGATTCGAGCTAGGGATCGATGGCTTAAAATACCAGAGTGTTACCCACTAGGCCACCGAGCCAAGATAGTTACTTTTTGTATAGTTTTGGTATTGTTGTTTGTATTATACCGTCGTTGACTAAACCAAACCAAATCCCGGTGGGAACAACATTGCTTGCTGGGAGGTAGGTACATCCAGCTGACGAGTCCCGAATGGGACGAAATGTACATACTGGGTTCCACTGCCACCATCCATCATTACCATATATAACTAAAACACAGGCAACATGGAGGCATCCGCGCAGGAGTGCATATGCCAACAGAGACCGATCAATTCAGTCCAATCAACGACAGTACAATACGAGCAATATTTCAACTTTCAAAAACAATACGAAAATCAAAAATAAACAAAGCCTGAATCAGGACGCGATATTTTAAAGTTGTCTTTAGAGTTGGCGTGGCAGATTTGTTGCATCCGAAGCCAGAAGGAATAAGAGCCACAGCTAATCGATTTCGAATATCCTTCATCAGTATGTCATTGTACACGCTCTTTCTGATCGATGCACTCTAGTTCAGCTCTGAAACCCAACTGGTTTTCGTGAGATGCAGTTAGGTGTTGGGTAACTATAGACCGAAAGGTCTTGGATACGATTTTAATTACTGATTCCCCCTATGGTTTTCACAAGAAAGTTTTTCTTCTTCCTCATAAGCTGGAATGATCAGTGAGGTAGACCAGTCTGACGGCACTACCTCTCATTCCCATACACAACTTAGTACCCTCATCACTCTAGTCAGCAATTCTCCACCTACATCCTTAAAACATCTTGGTAGCAAACCATCACGTCCTATTGTTTTGGGTCGTTTCAGGTTCGATACACCCTTTTCAACTTCAAGAAGAGTTGGGGGTCGAAATCTACATGTGAACACAGGCCTTACGACAAAAGCATAAGTGAAGTCCTGAGTGCCATAAAGTTGCAGCAATCCGGGAAAGCAGAAGGACTAGGTTGAATTCCTCCAGAAGCACTGAAAACAGACTCAGAGACAACAGAGGACATGCTCACACCACTATTGCAGAACAACCGATAGCTGCTACCTTGACGTGGTGGTTGGGCTTGCGTATCACAATGACCCAACGAGTTATGCTGGTGGAACACTTGTTACCTCGAGGTCGTAACATACTAGAAAGGTCTGATGGATAGTGGTAGGACAAAAAGCAGTTACCGTTGTGGTGCAAATTACTACACTATGATGGGGGTCTGAGGGTGAAGTTGCACTGCTGCCTGCTGGATAGGGTGTGACAGCAGTAAGGTGTTTCCCTTGGATGACCAGCAGTGCCATCTCATGCTGCCTTCTCAGTGGAAGAGGGGGATTAGAAAAGGTCGACCCAAAAAATAACACACTCCACCATGCCCCACGGTCTGCCAGGCAGACGGCGTTGGTTCACCCGTAGTTTCATTCGACCATCCAGCCCCAAAAATAAAAAAGTTCAAAATAATCATACACAAAAGGCTTCGTGTGACAGGCCCCAAGCAGATGTCCGATGAGTGCAGCGGTCACACAAATCTCACTCAGGTAACTTAAGAAGAAATAGCCCACCAAGGTGTGGGCAGCCGAGAAGTGTCAACCGACCTCACAACTCGATCAGCACTCAAGTTTCCTCAGATTGTTATCCACCTCCCCCCTTATTACCTCCTAATCTTCCTTCACGTCTCTCAACTAACGGTACTACATCATCTTCAACTTCTCCTAGCTCTGCAGCCTTCGACAACGATCTGAGTTCACAGAACAGCATCCTTGATCTCCTTGAACCATACTCCAAACTACATATTGGAGCCTTCAATGTCCGCACCCTCTGTCAACTTGATCAACAGGCTTCGTTGGCCAAGACTAGCAACTCGGGGCATCCATGTGTGCTGTTTGTGAGACACGCATACAGGACCCAAATGCGGTTATTCACCTAACCACCCGACCAATCTGGTGAGTCCCCAAAATCCACCCTTCAAGTTTCTGCAGATTCGATAGTTAGCTCTCTTGGTCTAGCAGGTGTAGGCATAGCACTAAGCACTACGGCAGAAAACTCACTACTAGACTGGATACCAGTTGATAGTCTACTCTGTGCTATCCGACTGAATGGCACAGTGAGAACTAAAAGGAATAGGGAGACTCGCCATTGTCTCTTTGTAATCTCTGCTCACACATCCACTGACTACAGTTAAGATGAAGTGAAGGACGAGTTCTACCCTAAACTCTCTAGCCTCCTCTCGAAAGCCAAACATTCGGACGTGGTGGTTGTTGCAGGTGATTTCAACGCACAGGTGGGTAGACTGAATGAGGCATAAGGGCACTTAGGTGGTACTTTCAGAGTCCCGGCTGAATGAACAGATAACGGTGATCGCCTACTACAACTGTGCTCAGATAATCACCTATTTTTAGCTAGCACAAATTTCAGACATAAGAAAAGACACTATCTGACGTGGCGTCCACCAACCTCAACCCAGAGATGGACACAGATAGACCACATAGCTATTAGTCATCACTGGAGAGGATCGGTGGAAGACTGCCGCTCCTTCTGGAGTACGTGTTTGGATATCGACCACGCGTTTGTCCGAGCGCCTATATGTTGGCGTCTCAATGGACGTAGGAAACATTTGGCAACTAAACCACTACGAGTGCTGCTGGACAAAGAAAACACTAAAGCCGTGTTCAGTGAGAAGTCGGTTAGGCAGTTATCGGAACAGAAGACTATCACTCATCTAGAAGAAGCTTGGTACCATCCTAAGTCTGCTGTAAAAACAGCGCTGAAGACAGTAGCCGATTCCGAAACAGCGGCTAAAAAGAGCAAGTGGATATCAGCAGCTTCTTCCAAACCAGTGAATGCACGTCAACGCATCTCTGCAGGCTCTGAGTACAATGAAGAGCGAGTCCAACTAAAGAGTAGATTGTGAAAAAGTCTACGCAACGACTGCGAACAGTGGTGGGCAGTGAAGGTTAAAGAGATGGAAAAGGCAGCGGCGATTGATACCAGTAGACAGTTATTTAGACTTATTAAAGAAACTGGGAGGAAAAGATCAACAACAGTTAGTGAGGCTATAGCGGAGAAGGACGGGTCTGCGATTCACTCGCAGAGGAGACGACTGGAACGACGGGCAGAACACTCCGAGAAACAGCTTAACTGGCCTCCAGCCACCATTGAGTTGCCCGCTACCCAGTCGGGTCCTGAACCGAACATTGAGATAGACTAGCAGAAGTCGAAAAAGCGGTAGATAACCCAAAACGAGGAAGGGCAGCAGGACCAGACGAACTAACTCCAGAGGGATACAAGGATGGTGGTGGAGTGCTCTTAGTCAGGTTAATGGAAGTGTTAACCAGTATATGGGAACCAAATATGATCCCCTCTAGCTGGTCTAAATCACTGATTATTCCAGTCTTCGACAAAGGCGAGAAGTCCTCTTGTGATGACCACAGAGGAATCAGCCCGACGAACATAGTGTCTAAGATTCTAGGTCCCATAATTCTTCGACGCCTGAGAAAACCAGGCACGCTTTAGATCCGGCCGCGGATGTGTCGACCAAGTATTCACACTGTGCCAGGTTTTGGAACACAGACACGCTTGCCGGCAACCAACACTGGCTGTATTTCTCGACCTGAAAATGGCATTCGACTCTGTTGATCGACAAGACTTATGGCAATGTCTCTCACTAAAAGACGCGCCGAGTAAGTACATCGCTTTGTTGAAGGCCCCCTACTCGAACACTTGTGGGCGTGTTAGAGCCTACGGTGAGATGTCCAGTGAGCTATGCTCATCGAGTGGTGTCCGTCAAGGGTGCCCACTCTCTCCATCCTTATTCAATTTTATCATAGATATTCTCATGGAGGTTTCCCTCTCGTCACCTGATTACACAGACGTTGACCTAACCGCAGGAGAACTTTCGATCGACCTAGAATATGCGGATGACATAGTCATGTTAGGTGAAGACGCTGACAAGATGCAGAGTCTTCTGAACACTTTGAGTGGCAATTCGAGAATGTTTGGGACGAGTTCCTCACCACCCAAATTCAAATTCTTGCTCCAGGACTAGTCTTCAGCGGTGCCCCACCGCGGTTAACAACAGAGTGTAGTGATTGAGTGTGTCGACCACTTCACTTACCTGAGAAGTAGGATCAGCCCTGCCCTGGTGGCTCAGTGGCCGGCTAAATCTCGGCACGAATACAAAAGGCTCGATTGGCTTTCGCCATCTTACGCCACCTATGGCGCCGCTGTGATATCCAATTGTCTACTAAGCGTCGCATATACTGCACAGCAGCCCGGTCTATTCTACTGTGTGGCTGTGAAACGTGGCCATTGAAGGTGGAAGACATGAGAAGGTTTCAGGTGTTTGACCACCGTTGCGTTCGAAGTATAGGCCGCATTCTGTGGTGTCACCACGTCGGTAACGCACAAGTCAGGAGTATAGTTTTAGGGAGGAGAGGTAAGTCGGTTGACGAGGTTGTGAACCTTGATCGGCTAAGATGGTTGGGACACATGTTATGTATGCCTAGTCGCTGATTGCCTCGTCATCACAGTGTTGATCGAAGTAGGTTCGGCTGCAGAAGGCCCGAGGTGGCCAGACGAAAACATGAAGTCTGTGACTGTTGGTTTGAGCCATGTGGGGCGATTTAGACTAGCCGGTTTCGGTCGACGGGACAAGGGGAACCAGTGGTTGGAGACTCTAGGTGATATGGCTCAGAACCGATGTCAGTGGCGCAGATGTATACACACACTATCCTCATCTTAACGACGCTATACCTAATCTCACCACTCTCTCATTCTTCCTTTTCCTCTTCCCGTACTCTATG